TGGCTGCTTTATGCTTCAGTGGTCCGAGATCGGCGGTTCCAAAAATGAGCATTTTCTTGGAGAGAAAAGGACGTCTGCAAAATTTCAGATCGATAACGCAAATCGACTCAGCTCGTCATGCTGATCATTAAGATATATATTTTATATTGTCTCCGACGTTTCTTTTGAGTGTTACAAACTTCGGCCGATATTGGACCACTATAGCATATGGCAGCCATACAAATTGAACAATCGAAATCAAGTACTTGTATGGGCAACTTTTTTATTTGACATAATATCTTCGCGAAATTAAGCATGAGTTATTTTCTTAGGCAACAATGTAATCTACGAAGAAATTGTTTAGATCGGATGACTATAGCATATAGCTGCCATACAAATTGAATGATCGGAATCAAGTTCTTGTAAGGAGCCTTTGTATTTGTGAAATTTTTTTTTTCATCTTATTTTGACTTAATATCGAAAAAGGATCCTAACTTTCAACAGAAACTTATCACGTCAAAATATCTGTTTGTTTTTACGTCAACAGGCTTCTTCTTGGAAATCTCTACTTTCCTATGGTGTAAAAACATATATGTATATTAACATGGTAAGTTTTCTCAGAAAAGGCAAATAAAGACTCCACTAAAGAATTCATAGCTGCAGTTATAAAAAAAATTGCATGCAACATGATTATTTTGAACTCTTAGATTGAAGTTCTTGCCAGACAAATACTAGCATTTTTGATAAAAATAAACTCTCAGAAACATTTTTTCGATAATTGAACCTTATCTAAGTAGTTCTCATACTCCATTATTTATATATCATACTAGACTTTTTAACGTACAAATTTTACTTTTCGCTAATTGAATATTAGCTTATGATATCCACAGACGAATTGCATGCGAGAAATATGCTCTTGGCTTTCAGATAGTGCTGTTAGCAACAACATTTTTTGCGATATTTCTGCTAGATCTAAATAATACTCAGACTATATAATAGTCGATTCAGGGTCGAATTTTAATGCAACATACATATTTAATACTAATTAAAAAATGTTTATGGTTTATTTTATAATATTTTGAATTAAAATAAAGTGAAGTGAAAGCGCAGCTGCCAAAACCACATATTTCCCTTCAAGCATTAAAAAGTGCGCCAACAACTGCTTTACATTTTCATTTTTGAATAAAATGTACACTGAATTAAAAAGCAGGCGAATAATCGATCACCCTAGTGTGTGAAGAGAAAAGGAGAGGAGCCATTAAATACAGCAGGCGCATTGCGGTAAAACTACAAAATGTTTAAAGGCTCAAAAAAACAACAACAAAAACATAGTAACAAACTTTGCCATGCGCCAAACACAAAAACAACTACAACAAAAATATATGGCCGGAGGCGGAAATAGGCGGTAATACGTAAAAATGGCACTTGCCAGCGACCCCGAAACACACGATTGACCATAATATACCGTAATACACACGAGTGAATGCGTGATAATATATAATATATATATACATATATTTGTACATATTTACTTGTGCGCATACAACCACAAGCCGGCGTAAACAGCCGAAGCCGAAGCGTAACGGAAATGCATTTGCCGCAAATTCCATATGTAAATGTGTAGACGTGTGCGTGTGTGTGATTTTAAGTGACACACACATATACTACAAACACACACAGCAATGTGCGTGAAGCGAACGATGACGAGATGGTGTGCTTGGAACGCGACGTCGCAACGTCATCGTCGTAACCATTCATAAATCAAACGGAAGTGTGGTATTAAATACGTTGAGACCCCACTACGCCTCCGCCTGCTAACGCACATATGAAACATGAACCGGAACTGGGAACGACGTACGTACGTAACAAAAGTAAGGCAACAGCAACAACAGACATGTGACGACGGAAAAGTGGACTTACTGCGGCTCTGCTATATGATACACAAACGCACACACATATATACTACACATACATATATAGAATACAAGTATGTATGTATGTATCTTTATTTGGTTACATATGAATAACGGCATTTAAAAGTGCGCATCGTTTATCGTCGTTTCACATTGCTTACAGCCATTAGAGCCCAAGCGGCAGGACACTTTGGCCGACCGGCAGGCTGTTGTGTTATGGCGAACAATTGGCTCGACGGCCACCGAAGCTCTTAAGCTGCGCAAATTATATATATATATGCGTGTGTTTGCTTGTGTGTGTGAGCAAATTTGTATGTGTATGTATGTTTTTAAGAGCATTCCCACGACGCGAACGATGATGGGTCTCAGGTTGTACGTGCAATTTATAAGTTAGCGAAGAGTGTAATCCCGTTATGCATCGCGTGGGCTCGCTGTCGACACTATCGTCGCATCATCGAAACAACCAAAGCGGATAGTGGCGTCGAAAATCCTGCTGTCATGTGAGTGGGTGAGTGGGTAGTGTTGGTTGGCAGCTGTGCTGCTTGCTGCTAATGAAGCGCCATATACTCGTATGTAGATATGAAGATGTATGGGATGAGTAAATATAAGACTACTGTTGTAGTCCCTAAAGACAAAACATGGGTGCTGTATTCTTGTTTAAATGGTGAGTTTCACGAGTTGGGAATTTCGTTGCAGTTTTATCGCAGAGGTGCAAATGTGCGTAAACTGCAGTAATCTCTTCGCACAACGTTCATAGATTTAAGTTATAGCCCAGCAGAGTTCCAATTTTTTATGGAGTTTTCTCACATAAACAGCTCTTTGAAGGGCTATGTCACACCTTAGATTTATTATACATTATATTTACATAAGACGTTTCGAAACTGCTTGAAATACCTTGGCCCTATATTTGGTTAGTAATCTTGTTACGTCGAAGAAACTTGCTTCAAACGTCCAGCAGAGGATACACAAACATAAAAGAGGAATGAACGTTAACTTCGGTTGCACCGAAGCTAGAATACTGGTACATTTCTTAGGGCATAAAAAGGTATAAACATATCTGAACAAATTTTCCGGATATTGTACTGTTGCCTTGGATATAAATTCATACCAAATTTCGTGAAGATATCTCGTCAAATAAAAAGTACATGTAAAAAAGCACAATGGAATAGTGAACTTCAATGGTGAACCTGACTATCTTATTGACCGGAAAGGTCAGCCACCATTTTCTGAGATTCACAAAATGTGTCTACATCAATTCCTTGAAGGAAGGCCAACCAGTCACAAGGCTCTTCCATCTGATTAAAATTGGACTTGGATTGGTTTATTTAAACTGCCCAAGCATACCGAACTAATAATTTTTTTTTTTTAAATAATAAAATCTCTTTTTTTATGTGAAATTTAATAGCTGTTTGTTTACGCCACGGAAATTTATCTGCGGTTTTTACCATGAAAAAAAATTAACGAGTTTGTTTGAAATTTTGTATTTCTAATGGAATCACTGCGATGCAATCCGTGAACTTGTTGGAAAAGTGTTTTGTGGAGAGCACTTTATTACGAACACAAACATTTGAGTGGCACAAAGCGATCAGTGATGGTCGTGAAGTCTTCGAAAACTTGCCTCATACGAGTCCTCCATCCAATACTTCTGCTAATAAAGAGAACATCGAACAAGTTATAGAAGCAGTGATTGACTAGAGGTCGCAATGGTGATGCTTGGCAACGTAGCTCACCACTTTACATGCAACAAACTGGTGACGAGACGTGGGTTTATGAATATTACATCGAGACTGTCCAACAATCTAGCGAATGGTGCTACAAAAATCAGCCGAAACCGAGAAAATAAAAATATACATTGAAGACACTTAAGGCCATCGCAGCCCAAGCCTGTAACAAGTGTATGGAAAATGGTATTAAGCTATGGCATGCTTGTATTGGCTTAAAATAAGTAATGTTGTAGGCGATAATAAAGATTTGTATTAAAATGTGTTTTGTTTGTCAGTCCGGGTCAAATTTCAGATGATTCATTTGGCGAAGAAAAACATGCTCTTCCAAAATTACCATGTCCCGGCTCACACCTTTACTGTAAACTCCAGACTTGGCCCGATGTGACTACCTTTTTTTCCAACATTGGTAAATAGTTACCTATCAGACAGAAATTTTAATATAATGGGGAGGTTATTAGGTTATTGCTGCCGCAGAGGCATACCGTTATCGTAATTTATATTATGTCAAAACCACACTAATACCACTTTTGCTCACATAATCTAGATATCTATGCAATATTTATACAAAATAATTTTCGTTTAAAAAATAAATAAAATCATTAACAAAGCACTCCATCATAATAAACACATGGTAGGCCCTGCATCTGCGGTTCTCAACAGCCTCTTCATGAAACTTTTATGGCCATTAGTTGCATAATGAAGTGTACATGAACCGCATAAAAGCAATCAACATGCTCATATACACACACACACACAAAAACACAAAATTTTTGAGCTGCATGTTAATTAGAAATTTTCGTTAACTTTTCACTCAAACGCGGGACGCAAAATTCCGCGTGCAAGCGTGCTGTTTAGGCTGCCGAGTGTGCTTCTCACATTCCCAGCAAAAAACATATTTTCGACATTCGCGCCAAATTCCACCATCAACTTCATTACATGCTTGTTCAGCTGTAAAAATTGCCGTTATTTTTAACTGTACTTAATGCAGGCAATTAAAATTTTTCATTTCCCAATAGCAACTGTCAAACTGACAGTTAATTTATATTTCATGCACTGACAGCGCGTGTCGAAGCGAAAATATTGCGGCAATAAAATTGACAATATTCGGACGACAGCAGTTGGCTTACGCAAAATAAACGCATATTTTAGTGAAATTAGTTGCGAATGATGTCTGCTAAAAGTTTCATAAAAAAAAAATAATAATAATGTAAAACAACAAAAATGGTCGACTGAGTGACTGACAGTACGCTCAACACTTTACGATCTATCAAAATATTGCGTTAAATTTGGGAACTGCTGGACTGAGTTGGGACCGAGAGGTCGCACGTTGGCTAAATTAGCAAGCCGCAGCAGAGCTTGTCAGCAAGCAATGACCGCATTAAATGAGTGACACATTTCTGTAAATGAAAGTATTTATTTTTGGATTTAAATGACTTTGCGCGAAGCCAACAACGAAACACAGTAACTTGGCAGCGTAATTCCACACAAAAGTCGGAGCTTTAGTCCTCCGCAAGTCGGCTGCCATGAAACAACGAGGTGCATTGTCGGCGCTAAGACCAAAAGCACATAATATAAGGTGGGAACATAAGGAGCGTGGCGACTTCGGGGTATGGAGGCATACACTAAGCCACGCCAGAAAACAAAGCGCTGGCATACTCAGCGTCGCTACTTCCTTCACTTACAACAATAGTGCTGTCGCTACTGCTGCCACCGACAAAAACAAGAGGAAAAACTCAAAACACGAAAGAATAAAATTTTAACAAACGAAAAAGTGTAACAATGTAATGTTGGCCGCAATTCTGTGCGCGGACTCGGCGCTTTTGGGCTTACAGCATCGCCGCGCGCTGGTGCGCTATGACGATCAGGCTGTGTCGTGTGTGTTGTTCGCGGGTCGCTTGGTTGGAGCTAAATGGTGCGAGGTTCACGTGAGCCAACCGGCATTGCCAACTCACTGTTAAAATGGAGCGCAGCATGCCCTTCGGTTATGTGTGTGTAAGTGCGTCAGTGTGTGTGTGTGTGTGCCCAATGTACGTCGGCGACTGTGTATAATTAATTGGACATAAAATTTACATTGCAACACGCTTACCAAAATATTAATTAAGAAGCACAAAACGAAGTGGCCATAAACGGCACGTTTATATGGTTAAAAGAATGTTATGAATAAATACAAAGAAAATAAATATGAAAAAAAATTTAATTCTACTTTTGCAGGTATTTATAAATAAGTTTAAGTTTAAGTTTTTGCAAGATGTGGTGTGCTAAACATGAATGAGCTTTCAAGTGCAGTTGCACGTTCGGAGTTATACACTCAAGGCGCTTCGCGATCTCTGCTCAATTCTTTAATAAGTAAAAATTCGATTAGCATAGAGTGACAATTTAAATACGATACCGTTATACTGAAATGTGTCTAAGTTCATTAGCACTTTAAGAAAACAAAAATAGCAAAAATTATCAATTAGACCGCACATCAATGCTCCAGAAATTTTAAAGTCGGTCTTTATAAGCTTAGTATGCACCGACTCCACCACCGTTAACCACATTAACATCGAAAAATGTGAGAAAAACGTGCTCAAATGTCGAAGAGAATATATACCAGCCGCTCAATCAAAAAGAAGTCGAATAGAGGTTTCGAGACCGGAGATCAACAACAAGGCATTTCTTAAGCTAAATTTTTAGCTAGATCTGTATTCCTGCGAATCATTTTTTAGTGAAAATCTCTGCTATCGTTCGACCATTTTATAAAGCAATTAATAATAAAAAAAAATTTAAAGAGTTTACTTAATTAAGACATTGTTATTTTATTAGGCGACTACTAGTTGTGTGGTCGATACGTCAATCTCCAAGTTTTAGTTTCAGTCCCTCAATCTGTAAAAAAAACATTCTTAAAACCTATTTAGCGTCTACCACTTTTGAAATGAATTTGTACAGTTACTGTTACCGTAACAAATGTTTTCGTATATAAATAAAACACTTCAGTGAGAAATTGTCTAAAATATATGTGAGTGGTGGATCGTCGCAAAATTATGAGTGCTCGCAAAGTACTCCATATTTTGAAGCTCTCTGCGAAGCAGCAAAGGGAGTTCGTCAACTCCTTCGATGTAGTGATGTGTGATTGTGACGGTGTTATGTGGCTGGTTTCGTCTCCGCTGTTCAGGACGGGTGAAGCGGTGAATGTATTGAAGGCGGATGGCAAGCGAGTACTCTTTGTGACCAATAACAGCGTTCGGTCGGATAAAGATTATATAAATAAGTTCATCGAGAACGGAGTGAAGAATTTTCAAATAGTAAGCTACACTGATCTTTGATTAAGTGTATGTTTTTGTATGAGTGCGGTTAATAAAGACCTGCCGTGAGTGTTAAAAAAAATAATAGAGTGAAAAAATAGAGTCTGTGATCTAGAAAAAAAAAACTCTTTTAGATATGTGCTTATGTTTGCTAATTAATCGTTTGCTTATTTACTTTAACCAGCACGACATTATGCATCCAGTAAAGGCTATGTTGTACTATATCAAGAAACATAATATAAAGCAACCGATTTTCTCATTATGCAGCGCTTTCGGAAATGACAAGCTTCGCAATGGAGGCATAGATGTGAGGACTTTGGTATGTATAATAAACAAGGGAATATATGGATTGGACCGATTATTTTAAATTTAAGCATGAAGCCATATTATGTCTACGATAACATAGTATTTTCAAAATTAATGGATATATTTTACATAAAGTCAACCGAAAGTTCGAAAACCAAATATTATTTATATGTGCTAGGGGAAGAAGCGAAAAATGTATAGCCTAATTTCATTCAGAGATCTTAAAAATTTAGACCTAAGAATTTTTAAAGTATTTTGTTAAAACAACATAACTTCAATGTCTTTTTCACTGCTGCAGCTCACCAAGAAATACGTCACACCCGCTACTTTGGAGAGAATCACAAAACCGGAACAGAAAATGGGCGCAGTGTTGTTTGATATTAATTTGGAACTCTCTTATACGCAATTAGTTGCGGCCACACGATATCTAGCAGATAAAGATTGTCAATTTATTGCTGGGGGTTTAGAGCGAATGTTACCAATGACAAGAGAGATAATGGTGCCAGGTTTGTAAAATACTTATACATTCAAATATTTATGAGCATACTTCGTTTAATTCATGTAATAATATTTCCCTCAGGATTTGGCGATTTTCTCGACACTCTTAGGCGCTTCACACGACGCGAGCCGACAATAGTTAGCAAACCGGCGTTGTTGCTCGGTGAAATTTTGAAGGACGTCTATAAATTGACGGAGCCCAAGCGTTGCCTTTTTGTTGGCGATTCGCTGAAGAACGATGTACGCTTCGGTCGGGATTGTGGCTTTCAAACATTGCTCGTATTAAGTGGCAGCACACCTATCGAGGAAATGCGTGCAGCAAGTGCGGAGGACCAGCCACATTTTTATGCGGATGGTATGGCGGATTTTATACAGTTATACGATAATATAGGCAAAAATGCTTAAATATTGTATAAAGTAATGGATGTGCCATAACTGGTATAATTGTTAGATAATGTTGTGTGTTTGAAAATATTTTTTTTTTATCAACTTAAAAAATAATATTCATAGAAATAATTACCATTTTGGATATTTCTATATAATTGTTTATATTATTATTTTTCTATAATTTAATAGTTATTCTGTCTAAAAATGGGTATAAGAGAGGCACCAAATGAAAACTTTGAGGATTTTGGATCAGCTTGTTAATCGAAATAGCTTTACCCATGCTAAGGTCGTATTGCATTGACAAATGATGATTATTCGTCTTTTATCCAAAAAAATGGTTCCTTTAGAAATTACTGTTTGATGTTGCAATAGTTATAGTAGTTAGAAATCCGAAATAGCAACAAGGTGAATTTTGCTAAAAGCACATAGGTCAAAGGCCTTGTTATTTGATACTCGTGATTTGAAAGAGATCGCAGCCGTACAAATGTTCGTTATTGAGCAGCGTTTAAAGAGCTCACGGGAGATACATAGGTCCATCACTAGAATGTAAAAAGACAGCGAAGTACCGACTCATCTGTGGCAAGTTCCATCAAGCTCGTCTGTTTTGCAGTTTCCGGTAATACCGTTGTTACCAAGCACTATCAGCGAGTTTAAGATCAATTTGGCATTATGCTATCTAAGTGAATGCACAACTCTTTGAAGAAAGCTCTACTTCGGTGCTATATATCTAATGCTATCTTGACGGATTTCATTTCCACATATTTGTAAGACAGTGAAGTTGTTTGCTAGCCTGAAGCTAGAGTTGACGGAGAACTCCCGACAGAAAACTCCTCTCCAATATAGTGTTTTCGTCTCCTACCCAGCTTAACAAAGCTCGTTATGCAATACCCGAATCTTAAAAATAAACTAGCCTCACTTTTCACTCATCTGGTGCTTGCTAAACAGTTACCCTGTATGCTGTTCGAGGTAAAGTCTCTTAAGCCTTGCAGAGAGAAGTTAAGCTGTTTTTTTTTCTAAACTTGTATTGCCGTTTACTCAGATATATTTACAAGTATTTAAAGAAAAATGTATGCCTCCACAGCTGATAACTTTCCACAAGAAGCGAATAAATTTATTCGGTAACCATTTGCTGCAATACTCGAGTGATGTATGGCGCGATATGTGGCAACGACTTTCCGCAATTCTCCAGGAAATCACGCACAAGGACGATTGGCAGAGCAAACAGTTGGAAACCGACAATTTAAATTACGCACAATTGCATTAACATTTTGAAATAAAGCGCAGTGATATTGAATTCCACACAGTCACGCATTTGCATGGAAACGATTTTAATGCAAAATCAGCAACAACAACAACGAACGGTGTATAGTATTTCCCGCACGGAGCAGCGGTAAAGCTATTTGTCGCAGAAAAAGTTGTATGCGGCAACAAAAGCAAAAGCACGAACAAAAAAGGGGCGTCGCAAGGCAATAAAACATGCGACTATTTGAATTAATCAAAACGTTGGAAAATTACCGACACAACCCAATTAAATGCACATGCGTCGCTGAGCGGGTGACGAAGAGGCGCGTAGATATGAATGTGTTGGCAAAACACAAAAAAAAAAATGGTTGGAAGTTACAACAGAGAGTTACAAAAAGCAAAGGCAAGGGCGCAAAGTTGTTGGCACTGCCGTTTCAAGTGGAACGGAAACGGAAACAAATATTCTTGCTTACATTGTGTATATGTGCAGCTAGCTATAACGATGATAGTCAAAGTGCTACACTTTGTGCTACACTCGCTTACCAGCGCGCAGACAACTGACAGCGTCACAAATCAGTAGGCCTATATTGACCAATAAACAAGCTGAATAACGGCGATAGAATCAATGTAAAACTACGGCACCGGCTACAAGCAAAAGCACCGCAAAATGTACAACTACGGCACAACACGAGTTTCCCTACATATAATTATTGAAAGGCAATCAATAATAACCCAGTAGCTCTATGAGATGACATTTGACACGCAAAATTTTCGAGACAATTACTTTGAAAGACTGATATGAAAGAAGGAGTACCCAAATGGGAAAAGCTACTTATTCTTGTATCTAATAACAGTTCGACCAAGTTTTTGAGATGCAGTGAGCACTTATAGGTGAAAATCCGTTACTCTATCCCCTGGACCTTAAACAAATCTGAGTTCATTTCGGTTAGCTTCTTCCGATTATCTGTTGTCATAGTTTAGCCACTTTCAGTTTTCGTTTGGTTCACCGAAGTAGAATCATTTTTTCTTCGTCGATATTAATTCTTTTTCTTTTCTTTGTCGTCTACTTAACACGTATAGCATATTTCGAAAAGAAAAATTGTTAATTGAGAACATGTTCTCTCTTAGCAATAGAACAAGACCTCCTTTACATGACAGCGAAGACCAGCTGGCACTGTAAATAAAGAATTCGATGGATAATTTGGTGTCAGAAGAGGAGCCTCTAAAGATGATAAGTCAAAGATTAGTGAGTTTTGTGGACGACTAAGCCCAATCAGATTTACTTTGCATATTCAAGATTTTGTTAATGGTGAGCTATGTTCACGTGGACGCTTATTTTAAGGTATTTTTTGTATATTTAGGTAAAAAATTCAAAAGCTTGTTAATAGAAACTCTTTCTTTTTAATACAATTTTTAATCTATTGTCCGAAATTCTTTCGTCTATTGGAAATGATGAAAATGAAAAAACATTATTATTTCATTAAAATAAGTATGCATAATACAGTAACTTTCCGTTTACTGGGCTCACAAATTTTCGAAGAAAAAACCAGTCAAACACAAGTATAAAACAAAGTTAGTTGCTGCGACTAAAAACCCGCAGTGACAAACGGAAAAAAAGTCACCTTTGTAAGTATGACCATCAACCATCAAACAAAAAAAGGCCAGAAGCGGGGCACACAAAGTGACAGCACAAAGCAGAGTTGCACAGCGTCGGAATGGAAAGTATAACCACATGCCAAACAATAACGAAAATAGCAAAAACAAGCAGAGAAAAATACAATTGTCTTACAACTGACATAGACCGCACGCCTTGTAGGGAGGTCTGTCACCCAACCGTACTCGTAACTCCCCCAAATAGACATTGCCACTTCATTTTATGGTGCCACCAAACGCTTCGGCTGTCGATCGTCACCTCCGCCAACAACACAACCCAACGCATTGTTTATACCCAAGAGGGTGTATGTGTGTGTGTGTGTGCCGACACTTCGCTTGGCTTATTGCTTGTCCGTCCAGCCACTCGTATGGGTCTCTCATGTTAGTCTATTGTGAGCACAATGCATTTTGCATTTTTATTGCCCCAAACGGCCATCAATCGTCCTTGTCACGAAGGCTATGCGCACACACACGAACATACACAAATGCATGTAAGTACTAGCATTTGTATTTGTACAAAATAAATACACTCGTGTGCGATATAGACACTCGTTTTTATAATGTTTACGATTCCCATATGAAACATTCGGACTTAAAGCTTTTTAATACGAGAAATTGTTGCTTTGCTTAGATTTGCGAAATATAATATTCGAATTGCGGGGAAGTTGAGTCGGGAAATTTGTGAACTATTCAAAATTGTACGAAGCAACATATGTAGCTGGAAGGATGAGAGAGAAAATGTTATACTCTGTGTATCATTTCTTAAGAGCGACCCTACAAATTTAGCACTTAAACTGTGGATGAGTGGAGATTTTGACCAGTTTTTCTTTTATTGCTCTCCCTCTTCTTCAGCTATAGAAGCTAGCGTGTGATTTGGGTCGTTTCTTTCAGTCACTTAGGAATCAAAACCACCGATTGGCTTATGGTGGACTGCGCTGAATTGAGAGATTCATCATTGGCTTGTCTCTCTCAAGGATTATGAGTTGACAAGTTGTGACCGTCACTTTAAATATTTATAACTTAACAAGATTCTGCTGCATACTTTTAGGCTATGAAAGTAACAGCCGTTTCGAGAGTTACTGTTGTATTTGCTATAAATTAAATTCCTATAAAATCATGTACAGATTTTTTAAACATTCACCAAATCCCACACATCTCGCATACACCTCGCCAAATGGCTTAAATTGCCCATCAGAGTGAAGAACATAAATTTTATCGCATATTCTCCCACACACATGCCAGTAAAATGGGCCATTCTTCCGCAAACCGACGTCATAAATATAATACTAAAGGGAGCGTGGCTCATAAATTTTTCCCATTGTCATTTATGGCACATAAATAAATATAAGCACATATGCATATTATATAAATTATTACATATAAGCGCCATAATTACATACATGATGAATTCTTGTACAATACAACAAAAACGTGATTATATCTGAGCTATATGAAGGAGTTTTTATTTGCGGCTCTTTTCTTATTTTTAGAATAAAAAATATCGTAAAGCAATAAAATTGGAACATGCCTAAAAGTAGGCTAGATTCTTCCGGCCTTTTTTTTTTAGATACATAAATACAACCTGAAAAGACTTTTATTATAAGTCGTTTTGTGATATTTTAATATTTTTGTTGCTTAAGTTTTTATTATAGATACTTTTGCTTTAAGAATGTTGTAAAACAAAGCTCTTTGTTGATAATTTTCATTTATTTTGATAGCTTGTTCAGTCATGCTGCCTTCGGTATGCCGAAAAGCGATGAAAAAAGAAATTTTAAACCCTGCATAAGCCTTGACATCAACACCTTTATTTTATTTGACACCACCCCAAATGTAGGCAACATTTTTTTCCATATAAGCGTGCAAATAAATAAAAAATAGACTTCTTGTCTACTGCTAGGCTGAGTGCGAAATGATATACCGTAACTGCAATAATAGAAAAGGGTCTCACATAGGTTCATATTATTTGATAAGCATTACCATAAAATGCATTTTTAATTATCGGACAAGGCTTGGTTGATAATTACCATAAATGTATACTCTGAAAATTTGGAGCGTAACATACAATAAGGGTTCTTAAGCCAAATTGCATTAAGATAAGTTTTTTCTGTTCAAACCAAAAAATTATTTGTCATAAAAATGTTTTAAAAAAATATTTAATAATTTTCATATTATTCCATAAGCTTAATTTTTCATCAGAAGCGGTTTTAAG